GACTCGAGCCTTGACAAAGCCTGGGCAAGACCTCCCCCAGAACCATGTAACAGTGTATGATATAGATAGATAGATAGATAGATAGATAGATAGATAGATCGATCGATAGATAGATAGATAGATAGATAGCATATAGATGTGTGTATACTTACATATATGTATATGCATATATGCACGCATGTACATGTATAGTATACACATACATGCTCTCGGTGCGTTCAGAAATCACGAAAACTCCGAGCCCCGACCCGATGCAGCAGGTTAAGTGCCGTTGAGAAGCGAGGGTATTGGCGAAGCTGGTACACTGGATGCCTTCGACAAAAAAGTCTCCGCTTCATTACGCAGCATCATCTAACCGTCTAACCTCTCATGCCAAACATACATGCTTACAATTGCTTACGCCGGTTGGGGTTGCCTATATGAAGGCCGCAGAAAGCCTCGTGATCCGTCTGTGTGGCCATGTCTAACTCATATGCAGATTCCCCCTGTTGGCACTACAACACTGAAGATTCTGGAGCACTGCGTCGTGAGCTTCAGAACTGGCTGCTGCTCTAAATTGGAAACACTGAACCAATCCGAAACAAAAACCGTTCCGGGCTTTGCGATTCAGGGCTTGGGGTTTAGGGGTTTAGGGCTTGCTCGTGCTACTTACAACTCCGAACTCCGGCAGCAACTCGCGCATTTCAACAACCATCACTTAATATAACAAATACTCCCCTGCAGCATTGCGCCTGCAAAGACGGAAGCGCTAATTCTAAATCCTGTAATGGGGTCCCTCAACTCCCTTCCCGCCATGCAAGGGTCTCGGGCGACAGGTTTTGGGGATACTATAGTTACTAGGGTAACACCCACCCCCCGACTCGACACCTGGCTTCGCGCGAGCATGGGATCACCCACACTCGAGTCCTCGTCTGAAATCAATCATGGGCTTGCTGTTTTGCTGGAAATCCACGATCAGATGGCGACGACGACTGGAGAGCCCCAAAATCCCGAACCTCACCGATCCCCCACTGAACCATGAACACGCAACCCCAAACCCCAACCTCGAAGCCTCTGAACTCTGCAGCTGCTTGCCCCGCAAGGCAGCCTATGCTTCCCTGGCCCGGATCCTCACCCCAGTCGTAGCTTCGCGGCCGCGGCGGTGCCCCCAGCGATGCGAAGCCCAGATCTGCTCCGGGGGCGATTTGCACGTTGGGGATCGAATTTAGGGCAGTTTCCATGGTTGGGGTGCACCTTTTATGCTGCAGGATGCTTGGCTTTGTGTCTGAGGCTGCTTACTTTATCATTCGGGTGATTGGTCTACGGCGTAGGCTGCTTCCTCCGTCGCTCAGGGTGATTTTAGCATCAAACATAGTGCAGGGCTTTGTAATTTTCCGTTTTCGATGAGTTGTGTCTAGGCTTTCGGGTTGGTAGTTTATGGTTTAAGATGTGTTGAATTCTCGGTTAGGGGTCCCTAGCTTGTGGTTGGCGGCGGGGTGTTTGGAATATGTTGCATGAAACAGGATCCCTAACAAGCAATATTTTCTTATGTTTCCTAACCTACGTGCAGATGAAGTATGGTATGATTCGAAATAAGTCTTTTCGTTGCGCAGGGCATGGCTTTGGTTTTCTTTCTGGCGGCTGTATCAGGCTTCACTTCGCGACTGGAAGAACTTCGAGTGCGTCGTGAGTGCAAGGGCGTGTGCTACTGCTTGTTTAGACTCCTGCATCGATTCCTTGATTCCCTGAGACCTGGACCCTCCAGACAACTCTAAGCCCTGAAGTTTTCGAAGACAAGAGCACAGAGGCCGAAAAGAAACAGAATAGTAATGGGACCAAGGTTGCGCGGGAGCTTGTTTGGGAATGCTAAAGGGAACTCCATTCCTAGACCTCGGCTTGAGGATTCGTGCCGCAGCGCTTAGCGTGGGCTTTTAGGGAGTTCAAGGGCTACAGTAAGGATTTCAAGCGCACCTTGAACCCATGAAAAAACAAGTCGTCATGAAGTCTGGTCGCCTCGGCCGTGCGACCCCGAAGCGCTCGAGGCCTGATCCGTGCCGGGAAGTACTTTATTCTCCTATCATCAGTACGGTGGCCGTTGCAATGAATACCCCTCTTCTTGATATCAGTACTCTTCTTCTCAAAATTGCAGCTGCTACTACGACTATCATCATAAGTATTTGGCAGGTTCTATGTACTGTAGCCGTAATTGACGTTGCCATACAGCTACGACGGCGACTACGTACTGCCACTACTACTCATGCCAATAAAGCAAAACATGATTTTAGCAAGAACCACGATGCTGATAACAGCGAGAATAAGCATCACAACGATAAGAACACGACGAGTAATAGCAATAACCATGCAACCGCACTGGTAATATTACTAGTAACAAACCTACTATGCCGACGACGACCAACCTAGAACACGACGACAACTGCGACTGCTTCTCAGTGGCTGTGCTGCTACTTCGACACCGCCTACTAGGACGCACTGATTCTAGTCTCAAGCTTGTTCTGACTGTTGCCATTTTTGAATGTCATGATACTTGGCTGTTGCATATGACTGTCGATGTGTCAGACAACTCCACTGTAGTGCTATCAGTACTACTAGTAGCAGCCTTCATAGAGCCTTGTCTCGGAACCTCCCGTGCGAACCCTGCCGCAGGCCATCGAGTACGGGAAGCAAGCAAACTTAAGGCCGAAACGCTCCACTGACACGCTGAAGTCTAACTACACCCTAGACTCCGACTAAACCCGAACTCGTGTAAGGGAACTAGATTTATGAAGGCCGCCTCCTGGAAGCCAGCCCCTGGCCTGGTGCAGACACCCGACTCGGGGTTTTTGTAAGTCGTGGAGTGTCGGGGGCTTGGGCCGCTTCGGGTTGGGGAAACTGAGACCCAAAGCTTCTTTACATCGCGGGGCCAGTCTTCGGGGAATCGGGTAGATCGGATGGGATTGGCTTTGCATCCCCACGAGATCGGGGGGAATATCAAGTGTTTACTGCGTTTCCTCTTCTAGGCTGGGGTCTGACCCCTGCCATGAGGATCTCAAAACTCTTCCAAGAACAAGTGCCCCCCCCCCCCACCTCACCCCCGCTTCTTGCCCGCTCTACTCGGCAGGCCTCACGGCCCAGGGCGTTCCACTAAATCGTTCTTCCCGCCTGTGGCCAGGACACTCTCAGGCATGCGCTGTATGGCCGAGGGAACCCAAAGAACCCTGCGCCCGGCTTGCTCCGTCTGTTGTAAGCGCCCCGAGGCTGCACCTGATACCGAATCCTGAGCTCCAAGCTATCGGAAATCAGTTCGAACCGCTTGGGCCCGAACTGGCTGCTGAAAGGGTCGTCATGGTGCGGGTGGCTGCCCGGACCCTCACAAAGCGAGCTTTGGGCTGCAAAGGGGATCGGTTTGGCTACCGCTCATCACAGAGCAACCTTTAAACATGTCTCAAGGTTTCAGGCTCTTAGGGTTAGAGTGTCAGGCTTATTGGCGAGAGTAGACTCTAGACCTGATAGCTGCTCAGCCAAAGCCTTGCAAACGAACTTACAACCTGAGCCTTGGCTGCTACCTACACCTACTACTACTACTACTACTACTACTACTACTACTACTACTACTATGACGACTGCGACGACTGAAAGCCCACAAGATCCTTAATGATCATAGAATAAGAAAGGAGAGGTCATCGTCCCTGGCAACTCGGGGCCAGGCCGGTGTGGAGAGCCAGCTCCTGGGCTTATTTTGGGGTTTTTGGCTCCTGGGCAAGGAGTCCGGGGTTGGGGTCTTCAGGGCTATAATATAAAAGATATTATATATATATATATATATATTATACATATATAAGGGTTCGAGGCTTTGGGGTTCAGGCTTCAGAGATTTGGGGATCTGAGTTTGGGAAGCTTGGGACTTTAGGCTGCCTTTTCGGATTGAAGTTGTCGGAGCTTCAGGCGGTTCGGGGCAAGTTTGAGTTGCAGGATGGGCTTCGAAGATTCGGGCTTTATTGAAAACCCACATTCTGCACCCACGTCGTCAAAGGCTGGACGCAGAGAAGAACGGCAAGTGCACCCCTCTTCGAGTCAGCGGAGTTCGGTGTCGCAGGGTGGAAGCGTGTGCAACTCGCTACGTAGCAGTTGCAGCTCTTGGGGCTTCTTTGCAGGTCCGTTTGTGCAGAAGCTACAAGCAAATCTGAGAACAAGTGCCTGACCTCGCCGATAAAACCAAGCCCTGGCCAGGCACCCTCCAGTACCATGAAGTTGGAAAGCTGGGGCTACGGCTGAAAAAGATATCTGGACAGCAAAGGGATCAAGCAACAAAGTGTCATCACCTGAGCTCAGGTGCGCGTAATACAGTTGAGAATTCCCTCCCAACGTACTGTTCCTCACGTTGCCTGGAACCGTACGAAATTCAGACGTGAGCCTCAATGTTGTCTGGATTCAACAATTTCCAAATTAAGAAGCAGCTCGCTCTATTGTGAAGGGCTCGTAACAAAGGTCTTACGCAAGTTGCAAGCAGTAGTGGGTGATATGCGTTATTGTCATGTCTGTGTGTGGCTCCGGCTTTGTGACAATGATACAACTCGGCGGCACAATTTATGCCAACACCATGGACAAGCGTCCGATTTCCATCGCCCCAATCTTCAACCTCTTGCATCAAGTACCAGTGCACACACAACTCCACCCGGAAATGGTGTTCTGGAACCTCTGATCTCCCTTCACCAACTGGCTTCTGGCATACAGCCCTTCTCGGTCTAAAGACATGAACATGATGATGACAAAGGGGCCTGGGCAGGAGGAGGAGCAGGAGGAGGAGGAGGAGGAGGACAACGATGACATGATGGCCATGGGAGCACGGATGAGTATGTTGAAACTGAGGAGGAGCTGAGGAGGATGATGATCACGAGCGTGGCAACACAACTCGGGCTGCCGGCAAAAGCCATAAAGAGAAAGACCTTGGCCGGCTTCATGTCTCAGTCAGGCTCTGTTCAGATCTAGTAATCTAGCACAGTCAACACCTGTGACGCCTTTGGCTTCAGGGGTTTAGCGGCGAACGACCGGTCGTCGGATTTGAGGGATGCTTCGTTTACCAACTCTCGATGGAGGCCAGCTTCCAGAATTGTTGGGGACGCAAGTGACAGTCTGATCCTCTTCGCAGTGTCGCGTTTCCTGAACCCTCGGTCTGAACAACGGAAACAATAACATAAACAGACTGCTCGAAAGAGTGATGTGCGATAAACACCGTGCAGGGGGCCCCCCCGCCTAAGCTGTGCCCTGAGCTCGGAGCTTGAGAGAGGCGCCAGCCTGTGACCCCCATCATTTCCAAAGGTGTCTCTCTGACCTTCGCACACCGCGAGAAAAAGTCTCGAGTTTGATGTGCCTCAAAAGCATTATGGCTTGGGCTTTTATGGCTAGGTACTCTCGGGCGAAACATTGTTGAAAAAAACCGCATATGCACATACCAGACGCCTCCACCTCGCAATATGGCAAACCTCTTCGAGTCAGACAAGCCAACCTCCGGGGGCAAAAGCCCTACACCAAGGACCCTTTGTAATTTTGTTGTGTGTCCTGTCAGAAGGACAACAACATTGCTGATCTTTATTCACATGACCACGATTATTCGTATGATTCTGTGGATGCGTTTCCGTCTAGTTTGAATGCATCTTTCCGAGCTCAGACCTATATAAGCTGGAAGAGATGAAAACACCGAGGTGGCTGCACTGCTATGGAGAATTGGGGCCATGGAGATGCCCTCCACAGCAAGGGAACCTGCCGGGCGTCCGCTGTTTCTTGCCATGACGCACAAGCATCCCGGACGATTCACAATACATTCAATAGGCGTCACGCCCTGCGGATCTTGAATCCCGCACTCTTCAAACCCTCAAAACACCATGAATCTGGACGACGTTTGAAAATGCCTTTGCCCGGCCTGCCACGGCTCTCCCTGCAACCTGGTGCAGACGTTCACACACGCGACAACCAATTCTTACCCGAACCCGGCTGCACGACGACGCGGCCCTGAAAGGGGAGAAAGTACTAGACTGTGTGGGAGACTTGAAGCACATGAAAGAAGCAAAGTAAATCAAGGCATCAGGGAAACGCATATAAATTAATACCGGCCGAACCGAATCAGAGCCAAGGCATCGGCTTGGGACGACTGCAAAGCATCAGCCACATCCCGCTGGAATCCCGCCGAATTGAAGGAGGACCTGGGCCCAGAGAAACGAATCAGGATGGAGGCCTGAGTGATCAGAACAGGCGTCGATGGAATCACTAAAGCAAGCTTTTCAACAACATGAGCATGCATATATCCATAGAATTTCTTCTTCCCTCGCCGCAAGAGAGTCCTCGTGTCGCTCCGGCGACTTAAGTCGGCAGCTCCATCAGACTCCACACCGGTATTTGGTGCCTACATCACGCACTCACATTCGGATGCCAAGACATAAAACACTGCCCTGGTGGTAAAAGCTCAACCCAATCCACCTGGCGTGTCTGCCCCGTGGTGGTGGATCCCTCACCCAGACGGCTTAAAAGCGCCCTTAAGGGCTTGGAAAACAGCACTCGCATCCCATCTGAATTTACAAACGCAAGCTAACAAGTAAACTGAAAACCACCATATAACACACTATGGGAATCGGGACTCCTGGAACTGAACCTTTTCTACACATCAGCACTTCCGAAGAACATAGATACACGAATTCTGACGAATCACGCGACAGTCCTCAGCTGTAGCATGTCCTCGCTGGTACCATTTTCTGTCACAAAGCTGATTTGGCCACCCACACACCTGTTCGGTAAGGCCATGTATCGGTGCGAGGTTGTCTGAAGATTCTGGATGCACACTGCAACGAGGCACTAGAACCTTACACCCATTTTCATCGAATCTGTTGGCTTGGATTGGACGTGCTGCCGACGGCACGGCATGCGCCACAGCGTTTGCATGACAATGGTTCGACGAGTTGCTGATGACAACCCTACACACAGTCTCTGCGGACGGGCCTAACAATCCTGGTATTTGGCCAATGGGCTCCTGCCGGGGTTGGCTGGTCTCACGGTGGCACCAATGAGGTGCTAGATCCGGTTCCTGGCCAGCCTGCTAATCAGATTGCAAAGCCGGCGCGACTGGCCCGACGAGAACTGGATGATGCCCGAATCCAAGTTCTAGGACCTCTTTCGGGGAGCGCTTTCTCCATCACGCCCGGGTCCGTCTCCAAGGCCTCGACCTGCGTTAGCAATGCCGGGATCAGGTATGTTTCGCATGGGGTTGTTCAATTCTTGGCGCTCTCCTCCTTCTGCTTGTTCCACTGGACCGCCGTCTCGTAGAGCTGTGACGGGGAACTCATTGCGCGTGGCCTCCGTCTGCATGTATGAACTCACCGTCCGAGCTCACCATGCCCATTGCATCTTCCGGGCGGAGGGAAAGGTGGCCCATGGCCCGTACATCCTCTCAGCTCCGTTTTGCCCCTGTCAGGGTCCTTGTCGCGGTCTTCCCGTCTTGCCGGCCATTGAGCCACGGCACTCTCATCCTCCTTGTCGAAGTCGGCCGCTGTCCACTATACACGAAGAGGAACTTCAAGTAGAATGCCTGAGGCAAAATAAAGTACGCATAAGTGAAGGTACCGTGATCGGAGTGGAAACAAGCTCATACTTTTGCCTCCTCATCCAGAAAGATTGCAACCCTTTCTGCCACCCTCGTCTATTTGGTCAAGGTGGCTTCGTTCTCGGACTCCCGAGCCTTGACGAGAAATGTGCCGCCTGCACGTCCTCGTGATTCTTGATGGCGTTGGCGTTCATGGTGCCGGAATGACAGGGGAAGCGTGCGGGAGCGTAAGCCTTCGAAGTGGCTTGAGCCAAATGGCTATACAAACGGACATACATACATACATAAATACATACATAGATACATAAATACATACACACATACATACATACATACATACATACATACATACATACGTACGTACATACATACATACATACATACGTACATACACACATACATGCATGCATGCATGCATGCATACATACATACATACATACATACATACATACATTGACATACATAATCACATACATACACTCATGCATGCATGGATGGATGCATACGTGCGGTTTCTGCCTGCTGAGGCTCCTTTATCGAGAGATCTTAGGCGGCTTTCTGGCTTCAAGGCCTCAAGTCTTTCCAAGTTCGAAGCTTCAGAGTCTTCGGCAACACATTTTTCACAGCTCCTGGGTTGGTCTCAGGCAGCGCGATGCCTTCTCGCGCTTGTCCTTGATTGGTCTCTCAAACTTGCATCTCAAAACCCCAAAGCCGAAAAGCTCAAACCCCAACTCCACAGACTCTGTTCTGCGACATCATGCACGAATCTACAGGCTTAAGCCAACACCTGAGAATTTTCGGCCCATGGCTCCGTCAGATTTTTTGGATTCAAGCTTTGGGAACTAGAGTAGGATTGTGGCCCAGGCAACTTTGTCACTGGATGCTTGCCGAGCCAACCAAGGGCCCCAAGAATCTGCAAATGGGAAAGAACCGAGGACCTCGCTGCAGCCTTTGCATGTCGAGACCCTTCCTGAGCCAATGGAGACTGAGGATTCAAGGACGGCGCTTGGGCCGGGGGTTTGAAGGCTCTTGGTCCGAGTTTACGAACCAATCGACGTCCCTTTCCTGGGCTGCTATTCCTACGCTGCCCAACATCACTACTTTGTTTTCAGGCGGAGGGAATGAGTACTTGCCATCCTGCTAGTAGGCCTCAGGGTCTCGTGCTACGAGCTGCACCCTTACATGCAGCGGACCCGGTTGCTGATGTAGTCTGTCGTCCGTCTTTCCTGTCTGCCTTTATCTTATAGACTAACCCTCCGTGCCTCGATCACCAAGGCATTGCTTCTTCGACTCCCGAACCACGGAAAATTGGACCGAATGCTTCATACTGTAGGGGCTAGAATAATTGGGACAAAGTTCTGGGGCATACTATAGCGCAGTGATATCAGGACGATCAGGGAGTATTGTAAGTTAATATCCCGACCTCCTTCGATCCCCATAGTATCATAGTACCCCCACACCTCAAAGCCCAGATGTGAAACCTATGAGTGAAGCCCGCATGTGCCAAGCTTCGGTGAGGTCAATGTAGAGCGAACCATGACCGCCCTCGGTTCTTGGGACAGTTTCCGGTAGGATTCAGACTGACCGTAGAGGCAGACTGACTTAGCAGCATCGGCACGGAAGGATGACACTATGCAAAAAGGATGTTCGGATTGCGTTTGCAGACCCACAGATTGCGGCCAATGGACCCGGGGAGGGGCGACAGGTCCATCTCACGAACCTCGACCTTCCGACCTGGCAACGTCAGGATAGTTGAAGCCTACAAGGGATCTTGAAAAAGAGCATACTTCAGGGCCAGGCAGGTTTCTAACAACGACAACCGCCAAGCCAGAAGCGGCTACGAAACCATCACGACGGAGATGCTTCGGGCTCTTTCGCCAGGTTCCAAATGAAAAGCCCCCGTCGGATGCGCCTCTCTCTAGACCCGCGCGCCAGGCAATCGCAGATCGGAGGCCTTCCGTGCTCAAGTTGGGTTGCTGCAGGGGCTTGCAAGCTTCGGGAACCTTGAAGCGCGTTGGTGCCTGAACCCGCATCCCACAACATGAAATCCTCAATCCCAATACTCCAAACTGCGAAGCCTAACCTTGTAGTCCTCGATCGCAATCCCTAAACCCAACTTCAAGCTCGATCCCGCAGAGAAACAACGACCTCCCTGACCCTAAGCCCAACAGCCTACGCCCAAAGCCGGGAACCGCTTATATTAGGGTTTCGATTTGAGCGGAGCCTTCCTCTACCTCGTGCTGCTCATCCTCGGTCGACTTCCTCAGGTTCAAAGCTTGAGGTGTAGGGCTTTGTTGCTAAAGTTGGTAGTGAGTACTGGATAGTGAGTCAGAACTAGAATTAGTATCAGCATTAGTTTCAGTATCAGTCTCAGTGCCAGGCACAGCGCCAGATGAAGTCGGAGAAGTAGTAACACAAGTAGAAGCAGAAGTAGGAGTACGAAGCCCTCTTTTTCTGGGCCAGGAAGCGTGAGCTGCTGGTAGTCCAGGCCCTTGATCTCAAGCACCAATCCGGCCTAGTGGCTGCTGATGATACAGGGGCCTGAATACGTAGAACAGCGTTGGGGTGCCGCGCGAAACTGACTTACAGGAACATGATAGAAATGAACTGAGGGCCTTTGGGAGCATTCATGGATTTTGGCGGCAGAAGCTCACCGACTCCCGAGGGCTTGGGGGTTTGGGGTTTAGGGTTCAGGGTGGGTCAAGGCTTGCCGGGCTTTGCGCCTGTAGTTCTGGCACACTTCAGGGAGATAGCAACCCTAAACCTTACACCCTAAACCCTAAACAGTCGTCTTGGACCAGAGATGGCTAGAGCTACTTGTGGTAGAGAGAGGCTGCGGAGAGGGACAGAGCCTCACTAGCAACATCACCTGAAGACGCATTAGGGCTAATAGGGTTCAGGGATTGGGGTCTAGGCTTTTTGGTCTATGGTGTAGGGTTTTGGGCTTTGGGCCTTTTTTGTTTAAGGGCCTTGTCTGTTGCTTGCGCTCCAAAGCCCTAAACCCTAAACCCTAAACCCTAAACCCCAAACCCTAAACCCTAAACCCTAAACCCTAAACCCTAAACCCCAAACCCTAAACCCTAAACCCTAGGCAGCATCCGGATCCCTCTCCTCAGTCCCTCAGTCGTTGCCCGTCAGCTCACCATTCACCCCTGCTTCTCGTCATCAACCCCCGCTGGAGTCAGGCTGAACCCTACCATCCGGCTCCGAGTTAGGGTTTAGGGTTTGGGGTTTTGGGTTTAGGGGTTTGGGTTTTTTGTCACCTCCACCTGCCTGAATCAGTTAGGTCGAACGCCACGTTTGGCAGAGGCAGCTCATCCTTGCCATGCTTTACTAAGGTACTTACCGCTTACAATCCCCCACTTGAGGACCCTTTTAAACTATGATCAGGGGTAATGCAGGATCTATATCATCAACAGTAGGGGGGCTTCATGATCACTCTGAAGCCCGCTGCATCCTAAACCTAACAAGCCGTAAACGGAAGTAGCCCGAAACATCTTCCTTCTTTTGTCGGCACGCTGGTGAACTTGTCAGGTGCCGAGGCTCTACAAAGGTGTCTGGGTTGCGTGGGGCTCGCTTCTAGATGAAAGGCACACCCTTCAGCTTGGAACGAGGGGATGCTTGCATCCTCAGCAAACTATGGATGGATATTAATTATTACCCCACGCCCAAAGCATCCCAACTTACCTGAACCTTTGGAAGTACAACCTTCAAGCCCTAAGGATAACAACTCAATACTGCGACAAAGAGAGTCCGCGGTGACTTCCAAACTTGGCTCTGGGTATCCTCTTGCTCCCCTCGTTCCCGCAGCAGGGCAGGCTGCTTCAGAGACCTTCCTCTGCTTCAAATCACTGAGTGGCCTTATCTCAAAAGCTTGCGAGACCCGTCTCCCAGAGCAAAGACGTGAATGGATCCTGACTTCAAGCATACCCGGACTTTTGGACTAAGCAAAGCAATGGCGGACAAAAAGGCGTTGGCGCAGCTTCTTCAGTGAGGATGGAGAATCAGAGAGTGGGTTGAGGATCTGCTGCTTCGGAGATCGAGACTTTGCACCGGGTGCGAGCTTAGCGAAGGTAGCGACGTAGCCTCTAAGCCTTGTGAAAAGTTGAGCTGAGAGGATGGCTTAGCCGCTTAGCGACCTTCCACTGAGATATCTTCAGCCAACCGTCTCCACAGGAACTGCCTTTGCCTTTTTGTGCTTCTTCGATCCTTCACTCCAGACCCAAGTGAGCACGATATCTCTGCTGGGTTGTCTCTGAGTGTGACACTCACAGCTACATGCGAGATCCTTATGTTTATGTGCTCTTTCAGGTCGTTAATCTACGCCCGAATGGACCTCAAACAGGCTGGCTGGAGGAGGATCTCTTTCCCCGTCTCTTGGGCAGCTGTGAATAGAAGATTGGTTGATAAGAGAACTGATGCTAGCATGTTGCACTATTAGAAATGTCTATCTGTCTTTCTGTCGATACATGAAATACACCGCTAGTACTGGCTTGTCTTTTGCCTTTTGGATCAGTATACTGCTTGTTGGTTCACGGCGGCTCACAGGTAGCTCTCCGCCTCTCTGGCATCAGTCCGGCCCGACAGAAGATCCAGGACCTGCTGGTGTCCGCCAGCTTCAGCCTCTTGCACCGGCGTGGCACCTTGACCTCTGCGGGACTGCAACAACCGCGCACAAGTATACACCGGTTGAGGCAAGCATGCCAAAATTTCATACGGACCAGATCAGCTTGCATCGGGCAATACACGGGCCTTAATACTACTTAGAATGGAGTTCTGTGCACAAGTATCCTGCAGTACGTTCATACAATGTCTGGATAGTGATTAGTGATTTGTGATTGAATACACCCCGTAGCAGACTGAGGATGAGACTGTCCAGGCGCTGCATGTCGGCTCCAGCTTCGAGGAGCGCATTTACCAGGGGAGCTCGACCCAGCCGAGCAGCGATGTGGGCCACGCTGCTGCCCTTCCCATCCAGCACATGCATATCGGCACCTGCCTTCAGGAGCTGTTGGACGGCTTCGAGATGGTCCGACCAAACCGCTGTGAACAAGGCCGTCTCACCGTCGTCGTTGCATCGATCTGGATCTGCACGGGCTTGAAGCAAGGCTCCGACTATGGCCACATCACCCTGGGTTGCCGCTGCGTGCAGAGGTGTGTTGTTGGACTTGTCTGCAACATCCGCATCAGCTCTGCACTCGATCAGATATCGAACCACCTCGGAGAATCCCAGCCAGATCGAAGACAAAAGCGGGGTGTCGCCTGTGGCATCGGCCTTGTTGACATCAGCCGCTGCTTTCGCCTTCACCAGAAACTCCACCATGGGCAAATGCCCCTGGGCCGCCGCAGCATGCAGAGGCGTCATTCCATCAGAGCTGGTCCTCTGCACATCTGCCTGTGCATCCGCCAAACAGCGTGCGATGTCCACGTGCTGCGAGTGGATTGCTGCAAGCAGGGGAGCTTCGTGCTGCTGGCCCTGATCCACCTCATGCGAAGCGACTCTGCATGCTACTCGTGCTGCTCTTGCTTGATATACTAGATTATACTATAAGTATATGTATATGTATATTACTGTATATCATACCATGGTATACCATGGTATACTTTAATAACATGCTATCAAGTCAATGGGTCTAAAGTCCACTTTCTCGTGAGTGACCCCTCGGCCCTCGGATCCCTCGGTACCTGGGCTCGCTTCTCCACGAGCAGGCGGACCATGCGGGCGTTGCCCCGCTGGACCGCGGCCAAGAGCGGCGTCCCCTGGGAAGCATCGGCCTTGTAAAGATCCAGTGACTCATCGGCTCCAGGGTCTGGCTAAACAAACAATTACACATCATATGATTGCTTATAGAGTTCCTTATTATAACTATACCATAAAGTGGCCCAAAGCAACTGGGTCAGGGATCGTCTTACAAGTCTTTGTACCCGGTTCCCCTTGCATGCGTGTCATGCGACAGGCATTGCCATCATACCAACCCCAGGAGTCCTAAGAGGAGTCGGCTTAGGGAAATGCGGTCCCACATCATAAATCCCAACTCCTGAATGCGAAGATATGGCCTTGTTCGGGTCTGCGTGTGCATCGAGTAGGGCACTCACGTCTTCGACGTGGCCCCAGCGGGCGGCGGCGCGCAAGGGAGTCACTCCCTGGCTGTTGGGCTGATCCATGTCCGCCGAGGCTTTGAGCAGTAGGCGAACAACTTCAGTATTGTATCCGCCCCCACCACTTACAGCTGCGTGCAGGGGCGTGTTCCCTAACCAATCCGGCTGGTCAGTGTTGGCGCCAGCATCTACCAAGAAGTGCACGACTTCGAAATGCCCATGAGCAAGGTTGTAGGCGGCGACTGCCTCATAGAGAGCAGTACGGCCGTTCCTGCCAGTGGAGTTGATGTCCGCAAGGGCCCTGTGCAGCAGCTTCACGATTTCGTGATTCCCTTTGCGACTGGCTTCAACCAACATAGGCGTGCCGTCAGGGTATGTGCAGGCAGCATCATGGGGTTTCTGCAAAATCTTCTCTACCTTGCAGACATCTTCCCGGCGCACGGCTGCCAACAAGTCCCGCTCACAATGGGTGACCAGCGGCAGAGTTACCAGCTGGATTTCTTGCGGCTTGCCAAGCTCATGCCAGGACTGTTGATCTGCTAGAACTATCCCAGAGCTCACCAACTTGATGCCGAAGCTGGAAAAGTTCAGAATCTTGGACAGGCGCTCTGTGACCTCGCCAACTAAAGAAGTCGAGCCAGAGAAAGTGTCTGGGTGAAGCTCTACCACCACGTCCCCTGCCATGTTGATGAACTTCAGCATTTTGCCGGAGGCGGCTGCAATCGGATCTGACAATCATAGCATGGGCAGCCGAGGGAAAATGGCATGCTACACATCTGAGCTGCAAATGCCACAGTCAGGAAGGGCAGAACTCCGTGGATCAAAGAGGCCGAGGAAACTAATTACTAGTCATCCAGGCATCCGGGCGAGGCATGCGAGTCAATTCAAACAAACCCCCATCCTCCTAAACTTCAAGCTCTCGACGTCCAGCAGCAAGCCTCCCCAAACGCGGACGCTAAACTCTGAACCCTGAAACCCCCTAAACCCTAAACTGAACCGAGAACGGCCTGCCGCGCGGGCTCCTTCGGAGCAGGACTGCTGCTGCCGGCGGTTCCTGAAGTTGCTATACTGGAATATAATGTAAGGTACCATAGTCTCGAAAGATCTACTATCATCTAAGATAATCTGCCGTGCTATAATATAATCGACTACACTGGTAATAAACAGCCAAAACCAAGGCCCACAGAAAGGCAGCCTGTAGAATTATGGTGCGAGATACAGCAAGGCACTCAACATCCTCGGTGGTCAGGAAGATCCTTACGGAGGTTGCTTTCAAGGCTAGAGGAGGAGGAGGAGGAGGAGGAGGAGGAGGAGGGGTCGGCGCCCATGCATTTCCCCACCCCGGACGGCTCCGAAATGGTCTTTACACTTTGCATGACTTTCGTTGCCGCAGGGAAGACCCAACTGGCGACCTCTGCAAGACTGCAAGGACAACCCCCCCCCCCGTGCTTTATCAAAGCCTCACATCTCAAGGGGCAACCGGACCTGAAGCTCAATGGATCAAAACCCGAGACTATAGTAGACTGTGGCATGCTGCAGTGTACCATCACATACTGTAGTATACTAAAGCATGCCATGAATACTAAAATATACTATAGTACACTGTAAACTATAATGTGCTACAAGATACTGTACTACAGTATGGTATACCATGATGTACTGCCACAGAATCAACTAGAACACAAAACTACACTTGATAAGACTAGACTATACCAGACGAGACTCTTGTACTAGCCCGAACTAGCTTAGACCATGCTATGCTATACTACACTATGCTATAATGTGCAGTAGAGCTGCGAACCGAACCGCAAACCGGAACTGAACGGTCAGGGACCGTCCACCCTTGTGGAAACGGCCCAAGACACATCCCAGAAAGAAGCCAACTGGAACGAAACACGGCTTGCTTGAAAATAGCATAACATACTCTCTGGTGAGTCAAAACATACTATAACCTACTACAATATGCTGGGTATCATATACGACCAAATATTACAATGTACCATATCATCGCCTAACTTACTATACAGTCATAACGAAAACTGCATCCCACCCCGGGCCTGTCTGCTGCCAGGGAAACCAGAAGGGCAAAGCCGCAGCAGTCGTGACCTCAGGGAGCTTTCGCAAGGGAGGGTGCCGGCAGGCAGCTTCAGAGTATGTAAGACAGGATTTAGGTTTTAGGCTTTGGGGTCTGGGAGGGGCCTTCAGTGTTGGAATAGGGTTTTGAAGGATACTGCAGAACGAAGACAGGAGCATTAAAGGGAAGTGCTATTGCCAATTCTCCCCACTGTTGCAGGGCTCAGCTTTCCTGTCGGTGTGTCTGTCGCGAAACAGTAGATCCAGCGCTCTCGGCGCTTCCCCAAGCTCTCGTGACCTCTCACCACGAGATTTCTCCGACGTGCTCTCGGAACAGGGACAAGGCAGCGGCGGTGGTTGACGTCATGGTCGTTGAGGTGAATGTCCTACGAAAAGGCCATGTCTTGGAGAGTTTGCTGCTTGGTTGCTTCGATTCTGTCGGTTGCGGTTCGTCAGGGCATGTTTGCCCAGTCCTACTCAAAGGGCAAGGCGAGTCATGCGAGCGGTTGGAGTTCAGACTTAAGGGGGCTCCTCGTTGATGGGATGTACAACATCGCAGTGGCCGACGTCCAGGTCAGGGTGGTGGCCTCGGCACAACGCAAGGATGCAGTGATGCGATCCGGCGAAGACAGATGCAGGATCAACTCGGCTTCACGACCGCCACACCATCTCGACTGCTGAGCTCGGCAGCGCATGGTTTCGAGTCATATACGCTCGAGCCCTCGACACAGTCCGGGGGCCGGACCGTGTTCGTTGTGACGGTGGTAGCTGTGACTGTGGTAGCTGTGACACTGGTGGCAGTCCTCCGGGGTGCGAACCTTCCGTCCGAACCACACAGTAACCATCATGACTCTTACCATGCGCTCTGTATGACTAGTACAGTTCTGTCCTGAATGCTGGTATTGAATTATTCTGGTTCGTTCCTCGTTATAGGTCAGCCGGCTTTGCACTGGACCATGCTAGTCTTAACTAATGAGCTTTGTATTTTTTCCGGGACGATTGAAACACGATCCTCCTAGGGAGATGTAACCTGGCAACAAGACCCATTCCTCAAAATCCCTGACAAAGAAGCTCGCCTTACATGCCCTAAGCTGGGAACCTGCATGCTGCATGATCAGTGTCCGTCTTGATCAGGAAACGATTTCTGTGCCGTCTATCCGACTTAGATGTTCCATGTGCATTGCTGCGGCCCTGGTCCTCGTGGGCTCAGCAGTCCAGGTGACAGAGGTCCACGTTATGGACGTCCACAGTTGAGTTGTTGCCTTGAGCTTGGCTCAAAGCAATCTATCTGGGATTGTCACAGCCCTGTGCGCCTGAAGCGCATGCTGGGCATTGGGACCATGGACATTCTTAGTTACTAGCTACATCCGGCAGCGCTCGGCATGCTAGAAAAGACTGGCAGTAGATGTGCTGTGTGAACTGGGCTCCATGCTGTGGTGACTGTGGCGGTCCTGCTAGGTGGAGGCTGCCCGAAACAAAACAGCAGCTTCCCATGGTCTGAAAAGTCAGAAGCGGCGCGGGTGTTCTTAGGGATGGTCTTGAATCTTAACGGGCACACTGAGAAACAACATGTGCACGCAGCTGAAGAACTGACCCACCCGTCCTGGTAGGTGGCATGTAAAAAGTGGCAGTGATGGTAGTTGCCTCCCGGGCCCGGAGTGTGACGAGTCCATGCCCATACACCCAGAAACAGTTTCTTGATTTGATACCTTTCAACCCTGAGCTCCTGCCTGGAGCCGCGCGCTCTTCACATGGAGGGGGGGGAGGAAGGTTGGGGTATTGGCCCGCCTTCTAACTTTGGCCTCACCAAAGGGGCACAGCTCTCGTCGAAAGTGGGGCTGGTTCAACGCGTCTGGCTCAAATTGATGTCATCCTGCTACATTCTGGAGAACGCTGGGGAGCTTTAAACCCATGCGATGCCTTTCAAACCTATGCGGACTAGAAATGCGCTTCCTCTAGAAGACATGAGGCCTGAACGCGAAGCTGCCCTCTCTGCCTGTGACGTGGTTGCCGTGGAGTTCACCAAGGCCGCCGCTGCCAGGGCTGCAACCGGCAGCCGGTGCACCTGGCAGGAAGGGGGATTTGGGCTCACATCATCACCGAGACCCTTATATGATCAGGGTTTTAATGACTAGGACAGGGTTGCGCGCAGGTCTACTATATAAAGGCTGTAGACGGGTTTGGGGGGTTTGTGGCTACTGGACCTGGTGAGCTGTTTGCTACAACTTCACTTCAGGCGAAATGCCAAACCTGCAAAGTGAGCCAGCCTTCGGCGAGTGCGGGGTCCTTAGCAAAACTCCAGCACATGATCCCAGCACGAGAGTGTCTGCAAACTACACAAAATATCACAGAATCACGGATCATCTGCTACACCAGCTACAAGCCCTCGAAGCCCATGAACTGCGACGTTGCATTCAGGGTGAAGGAGCCCTTGCACGAGCTACCAAAGGTCATCCAACAGGTATGCCTGTCGAAGCCCGAACAGTAACAGCCATCTCCCAATCCTCTCAGCTTCGATCGCTGGACAAACCGAAGCATTTTTCCGAAACCCTGAGCCGACACCTGCGGACACCAACTCAGGTGAGGGTCGAAAGCACATGAAAGATCTGAACCTGCCACAAAGCCAACTTCGCCCAAATGCTAAGCCGTTAAACCCTGAACCCCCAACCCTCAAATGCTCTTCTGCCACAGTGTCGGGGGCAACTGCAAGTGAACTTTGCTGCGGTTGCCAGGCACAAGCCCGCTAACCTGAAGTCTGAGCCGTACTAGTGGTAGCAGCAGTGGTAGCAATACTGTAGTGGTACTAATAACGACGGTGACAAGTAGCTATAGGAATAGTAATAGGCGAAGTTATCGTCATAGTCGTAGTGTCATAGTCGTTATAATTAACATTACCAGTACTACTGTTGATATAAATCCTGCATGACCTTAAGGACCCTAAACTATGGGAATTATGGTATATTCCTTGTTATGGGTAATGCAGGATGTATTTCATCAACTGTAGTACTGGCACTGCTGCTGGTTCTGGTAATAGTACTCGTGATAGGAACAATAATACTTAATACGAAGCGGAAGAGGACGAGGAATACGCATAGGACCATGGCATAGGAATTGGACGACAACAACAACTACTACTCGTGGCAAGAGGTGCTTATCCTCGTTGATTCCAGCCTACAATCCTCACACTCTCCGACACAAGCATCTTGCCACGCAGTAAGACACAAGCCCTTCGCCGTCAGTTCCCAAAGCCTACAGCACCCATCCTAGATCCTTCGAATTTCCGGTCCAGCGGCATTATGATCCCGAAGCTGCAGCGGCACGCCGCGCTTCCTGTGATCCTCCGAAGCATCTTCCTGGCGCTTTTGAGGAGAGGGGCCCAGTGGCCACACAACGCGGATGGTGCCTGTGTGATTTGAACCGAGGAGTTTTGGTCACGGAACACCGATGAACGTGACTGCCGCTTCATGTCATGCGAATGCATGTCCCTGACACATCCCCTCTGCCGCCAAAAATGTGAAGGACGTCTGCAAGACCCTGTGCTCACACTCACTCACCCGGTGCTCCCAATTCCAACGGAAAGCCTTCTGCACAACATGCTGGAAGCCTGCAAGCCCTCAACATCACTAAACCGTAAACTTTGCCCTGAACCCTTCGGTCCACCAATTCTGCTCGACATGGGGTCTGAACCTTACCCGCCGCGCACCCGAACACCTGACACCTACGAACTGGACATCCAGGCTCACCTTCTCTGTGCTTGCAGCCTTCACTGTGGCAGCGCTGAGACCTCTCCGCACAACTTGGATACAGGGGCTTCTTGAAATCAACGATTCCTTTGCAATCGTCCATGAGGGTTGTTGAATGTATTTTGGGGGGGCTGCATGAAGGGGGGCATCTTAACATCAGGGACGGATTCTGCAAGGGTTGCATACCTTTTGGAGGTGTTTGTGGAAGGGTTCTTAGAAGTAAGGGACTCCCTGTTCAGGGTTCATAGCGGTTTTATGGGGTTCTATGGCGGCTTACAGGGTCTTCCTGAAAACGGTGTAATGGTTTTATAGGGTTGTACAGTGCTTTACAGGTGTCTCAAAACAAGGGGCTTCATTTTAGGGTTCATTCTGCACACGGGGTTTTAGCGTGATTTGTAGGGTTGGGTGTTTACATTTGGACTTTCAAGATGAAAGAAAGGGTCTCCAGGTTTTTTGGAGTCGTTTCTCAGGGGAGCGCTAATTCCAAGAGTTCGCACGGGGTCTTACAGATATCAGGTCCATTTAGTGGGCTTCGCTAATTCCTGCAGACCCCGTACAGCGACCAAACAAATTTAGACCCTCCCCAGCGTCAACCCCCCGAAGACCTTTCGCACCCGGGCCTGCTGCGGCGCCCGCACCCAGCGCCTGCAAAGTGTGCTGGGCGCCGTGGTTCAATGCCTGGCGTCGGTATGGAACGGGAAAGAGGTTCGTCTTTCGCCGGCCTGGCTTCAATGGGTGGAGTGCAACGTGCAGGGAGGAATGCATTCCTTCCACCAGCACGGTTGGGTCCGAAGTCTGAAAACGGCAGCATGACCGCACCCAAACGCTTTCCGTCGAGAGATGCCCACCTGCGCCGCGATTGCAGCTTGGGCCGGAGCGACAGCGAGGCCTGCCCCAGAAGAAAAGCAAATGAAGATGACAGGGCCGCAAACTTACCCTCACTGTTCTCTCGCATGCTCCGTGCCTCCGGCTGCATACGACGGCGGTGCCTGGTGTCCAGCTGGAGCTGGGGCCTGGGAGTGAAACACGCGCCAGCTTCGCGGATATTTCGCAAGCTTATTCAGCAAACCAGCTGCTGCTGGCCTTCAACATCAGACGATCAGGCTCTGGCCCAACACTGACACGGCGTGAATGCGGAATCAGGCGTGCTCTCTCTCTCTCTCTCTCTGTCTCTCTCGCTCTCTCCCTCGCTCGGGCATCTCATGGAAACAGCCGTCAGATAATCGCAAAGAAAAACTGATAAGCTGACACAGAAACTCTCCAGTGCCGGTATCACAACCCTAGAATCACCACGGCTGGCACTCTGAAGGACCCTCTTCCCAAAGACTCTCCGACGCCAGCCCCTCCTGGATGCACCTCTCCCTCACTCGCTGTCGCCGGATTCAACACGGAAATCGGCGATGCAACTTTACAAAAACTCCAGCAGCTAGCGCAGCCCAGCAGCCGAGACGTCGGGCGAGCGAAGGGCGATGAAGAACCTTCGGAAATAAAGTGCATGAACATGTCGAATCGCGATGTACTACGGGCCTACAATCACAAAGCTGCTCGGCTTCTACTATACTTTTCAATCCTGCAGCAACCGGAACAGAACAGGCCCTTTACCTGTCCAGGAACCAACAGACGGATGTGTATTTGTATTGGGACGCCGCAGATCCAGGTGGCTGAACCATCTTCGTCATTGTTGTTATCAGCTTTGTTTCTGCTATTACTATGACTATGACTCTGGTTCTGGCTCTGCATCTTACGATTACCGTTGAGAGTACTGTCAATATTAGTAACACCACCACCACCACCACCACCACCACCACCACCACCACCACCACCACCATGACGATTGCGATTGATCTTACGATTACGATTACGGTTGCCACTACGATTCCGACCACCATTACCATTACCATTGCTACTACGACGACGACGACTCGACGACGATTGCGATTGCCATTACGATTCCGACCACCGTTACCATTACCATTGCTACGACGACGACGACGACGACGACGACGACGACGACTCGACGACGATTGCGATTGCCATTACGATTCCGACCACCGTTACCATTACCATTGCGACGACGACGACGACGACGACGACTACGAGGACTAAGATGACGTCTACGACTGCGACTGCGACCGCAACTGCCACTGCGACTACGACTGTCACTACGATTACGACTCCGACTACTACGACTCCTACGACTATGACGACCACGACAACGACGACGACTACTACTACTACTGCTGCTACTACTACTACTACTACTACTACTACGACTACTACTACTACTACTACTACTACTACTACTGCTACTGCTACTACTCCTCTACTATTACTACTCCTCCTACTACT